CCCGCCTTTGCATTCCGGTAAGTTGTAGCCTGCGATAGTTCCTAATCGAGTTCGATCGAACACGTAGTTTTTCTGGTGTGCAAGCATTTAAAACGTACAGGTCAACTGCTGATTGAAACTGTCGGCGGCAGTGGTCAAGCGGTTAATGTCCTTATCACGAAATTCCGCAATTCAAGCTTTTGAACCGTACCACCTCTACCCGACTATTTTCTGCCACCCCAGGCAGCCCTTAACACAAACCCCCTTCATGAGAGTTTTTTATATGTTAAACAAATAAAAAGATAATAAAGACATTCGTGTGATCTGTAGTACTGAACCAGGTAAGACGTTATTGGGTTAATTTTATTGTTTATTCAGTAACAGATGCTTTGGGTCTTGCGATACGGGCTGTGACAACCTGTTACTTCCCATTGTTCTAGCAAACGAACCCAAATGTTGGTCTGTAACAAATTCCTTGTTTGTTTAATTTTTCGTAGGTTATAATCCGAAGCGATGAAGAAGTACATTCAACCTCGGACGATTTTGGCATGTTACATCATATTTTGCTTCGATTACCAAAGAAACACCCGGTTGAAGAGCTGGTCAAGTTCGCTGTCAAGCTCTACATCGCCGTTCCCCCGGAGAAGTTAACCGAATTAGGCAATCAGCGCCAAGCCCTACTCAGTAGCAATATGTCGTCTCGGCAGATGAAACCGGTCAGATCTCGTAATCGTACTCCATCGGTCTATTTGAGTGCTTTTCTGTTGGCTGTAACTGCGTATTTCGTCTATTGGTGGCGAGCGTATTGAACCGTCGTTATTCACCCTCCTTTGTTTTGCTACTCCCTGATTCGATGCACCCACCCAATCATTCTTTAGACAAGATTACTCTCTCTTTTTTTGCCAGCTGTTCTATTCTCCTCACATTATTCACCTTTACCGGTTGCGGCCGTCACTGTGATCGGTCACTCAGGCATGGCTTATTTTCCTCCCCATTTAAACCGTGGTTTGTGTAATCTCGTATTGTACAGAGTTTTTTTTACGGATGTTGTACGTGACTTAGGTGACTTGCCCGTGAAACATATGATTTTCCTCGTCTACTTGTTCCCTGTAAAATACAACTTGAATTAACTTTCTCGTTCTATCCTACACTTGTTACTCTTCACTTGCCTGTCTGTTTGCTCCCTGCATTTGTTTCTACAGGTTCACTGATTAACTAATGATTGCTTGAATGTATGATAATGATGTTAAACGAACTAGAGTAAATGTGACCTAAAAACTAATCCGCACTAGGTTGTCCTTTATACTTGTTATCCTTGTTATATCTCATCAGCAGTGCAAACCCATTGATCCTAACTTGGAGTTCACGCGGAACCATGAGCACGGAAAAAGTGCACCATCCACTTGATCACCAGAACCTCAATCAAACTGTTNTATGTTCATACCGACATGCTCTGCGGTACACCAGCTTTTCCATTGACGCTTTGTGGGGTTCGCTGTTCGAAACCATACAATCGAGGTCGTTTATCTCCGCACTTGATTAAGGCACCCTCATTACTAGAGGAGTAATCTCACTGTACTTTGCTATGATATTGTGTGGAAAATGGAGAGGAACTGTAGTCTAAGCTGGCCGTGTCATTTATGCAGCGTTGTTCGCGACTATTACACTTGTCACTACTAACAGAGCTNTTAACTCCACAGAGGCTCCAGTATGAACCTATTTTCGACTGAGCATGCACTACCCGGCACACTCCGTTGGCCTATCCTGGTACATTTATTCTGTTACAGGTTCTCTGGTGTGTACTTAGCTTGTTTGTCATTTTGCTCGATGAGGTCGTTTTGTTTATCCTACTGTTTCTCATAGTATCATCATCCAGAACCATTAGTTAATCGATGTGCATGTGGGCGCTCCTTTCTGTCTGTCTGTGTATGCATGCGTGCATATATGACTGTCAGTGTGCTTTGATGCGTCATCGGTGGCCCCAAAAGCAAACGTGTGCCAAAACCGGATTCCGGACTCACATTTGAATGCTCATAAGCAGTAATATGGCAGCTTATAAATAGCCGTTTTTATTTCTCAGTTGCACTCTTTTTACCGGTTAACAAAAACGTTATCACATCTCACTATATTCACCTTGTAGTATGCACCGTACAATTTCACTCGATTTTTCTGTCACTCATATTTTCAGTCATCTGGTGATTGAAACAAACTGGTCGTCGTTATCAGTATGACGAAGATGTTCGCGACTGACCAATTACGGTGGTCATTTTTTATCACGTATTGGATTTTGTTCCTGCTCTCTAATCACAACATCCAAATTTGTGCGGTACCGTCCACTCAAAATGGTCCGTCTGGGTCCACGTTTACCACCGCTTTCACTTGGTCCGGTTACCAGTTGGCCGCGTTTGTTGATTTAGATGCAGATCGTCAGATGGATGCTATCCTGCTTGATGCATCCGGTTACAAGCTTTACGCCTCACTCGCACCCCCACGTCAGTCGATTTTCTCGTTTAACCAACCGAAGAATCCCAGCCTGCCGGAACCTACCTTGTTGTTAGATCCGGCGTTTTCCAAACCGATTCGTGTCGTGTCACCTGCGGATTTCAATGGTGATTCCATTGCTGATTTGCTTCTTCTGACCGGCTCCATCACAGGCCCATTCGATGCTTATATTGCCTATGGGGCTTCGGGTGACAAACGAGGGACATTTTGTAAGTGGAATTGTTAGTTGTGTGCTATGCTATGAGATCCTATCACGCAGCATATATATATTTGATAATAATATTATCAAATATTCTACCAAGACCATCAGGTCACGTTTGTTGCG